AGGATGCAAATTCTGGGTTTAGGGACCCCTCTGAAGAAAATGTCACTTACCGCAGACCACTTCATCGGTGTTGCCGAGGTGAAAGAACAGCCACACTCATTGAAGGAATGGCCCAAATAGCTGCAGGTATGAGAGACATTACAGTTAAGAATATGGCGATGTGTGAATTCTTCACGCAAGGCTAAGGTCATCAGGGCTTCCAAATGCCACAAGGGCCCAAGCTGGCTCAAGAACAAATTTCTGCTTCTCATGGCCTAGGCCATTCGAGCCAGCACAGAGAACACCCTATCAAAAGGGAAGTGGATATAGATGTCACATCTTATACACAAGGGAGCCAAGCAGTGGAACCACAACTGAGAGAAAACTTCCCACTAGAATACGAACCACAAAGGTCAGTTAGTGTCTTCGGCCAAATAGGACAAAACCTTAGCAATAGGGTCAGCTCCATACAAAGATCAGCTCAGTAAGAGCAAGAACAAGAACAAGCATCTCCTCCACCTAGGAAATAGGCGGAAAAGGAGGAACTTAGTTGATTAAGGCAGTCGAGGAAGAGGACCTCCACCTTCCTAAGATGTGCAAGATGATGAAGGCTCTGAAGAGCCATGCCGCTCTCATGAAGTCGATGATGATGATGAAAACCTCCTTTTCTCAAGAGAAATCTGAAGCTTCCCAATGACTCAAAACTTCATACTCCTTAAAATCCCTAAGTATGAGGAAAAGAGGGACCTAGAGAACATCTCAACAAGTATATGACACAAATGAGTCTCAAAAGAGCCTCGTAAGCACTAAAATGAAGGACCTTCCATTTGACCTTTGCCGGAGCCACCAAAGTGTGGTACAGCAAGCCACCACCTCTGAGTATTAGAAATTGGCAAGATTTGAAAAAAACATTCCTAAACCAGTACCTCTCACGAAGAAAAGGAGAGGCTCCAGTGCAACAACTACAAGATATGAGGCAAGCCCCTGGAGAGGCACTGAAAAGCTATCTTGTCAGGTTTACTGATGAAATCACATACTGCAAACAAGTCACTGATAGAGAGGCTCTTTCAACCTTCCAAGGAGGACTCAACACGAACACTTTGTTCTGGAGAATGTGTATAGCAAGAATTTAGCCATTTATGATGAACTGGTAAAGATGATGAGAGTGGAGATTGTCAATGAAGAAATAATTGACCATTGAAACTGTGTAATACAGGGACTCCCTTCGCCTCAGAGGTAGGTAGGTTGAGGACCGACAGCGTACCTCATTACCCAGCAATGGAGCCAGGCAAGGCATATAGTGGCTCCCATATCCGGACAAGCATTGGCTTCAGCCACGCTAAATGCAGTGCCAGTATTGGCATATGAAAATGCAATTTCCGAAGTAGGACCATTTGGAAGGACAAGCAACAACCAGCATTAGAAGAAGAAGCAATCAAACAGACTTCTAGAAGGGGCAAAGTTTTGCACATTCCACTAACTCTATGGCCACGACACTAATGAATGCAGGGATGCTCCTTGATCTTCAAATCAGAGTAACCTACGCTTCTCCAGGAGGGATCACTATCATGAATACCCCCGTAGATCCACCTCTCCTAATAAGGAGGAGAGGCAAAAAAGAGATCAGTCACCTCGGAAGAGAAAAACGAGGGATAGAGAAGAATCTGGACAAAGGGATCAAGCCCCATCCTCTGAAGGCCAGACTATCCAAGAAATTGATACAATTGTTAGAGGACATCACATCGGGGACAACACTAGGAACGCCCAAAGGAACTACACAAGAGAAACAAAGGATCCGCCAGTGATTACTTATATTATCAACCAGACCCAAATAGCCAGCAGGATGCCCCAATCACTTGCTCTCAAAAGGATGTACAAGGTGTTCATCAGCCCCATTGTGATGCTTTGGTAGTAAGAGACGTAGTGGCTCACAACGGACTTAAACGCATGCTTGTTGATAATGGAAGTTCAGTGAACATTCTGTTCGGATCAACCTTCGACAAAATGCAAATTGAACATGGCTTGATCCCCATGCCGACCCACTATTTGGATTAACTGGCGATAGCATCGTCCCACAAGGGTGAATCACCTTGACTGTTGAGATAGGATCAACCCCCTGGTAGCTCACCACTTCATGGAATTCTTGGTGGTAGACCATAGATCAACTTACCACTGGGTATCGGGTTGACCTGTCCTAAAGGATCTCTAGGCTGTCACCTTCATTCATTACTTGTATATGAAGTTCCCAACTGAGCATGGGATTGCCACGGTTCGAGGTAACCAAATGGGCTCAAGAGCATGTTATCTAAACTCTCTTTGAAAATTTGAGCCTCACACTGTTTATGTGATTATAACTGATGTTGCAGACGAAGTCGACATGGATATAGAGATGCTTGATGCCCTTGAACAAGGGCATACCTTCGAACAGAAGGAAGACGTCGATATGATCGAGGCCTTTGAAGAAGGGCACCTTCTTGATGAGTTGGATCTTCAAATTATTGAGTTGAAACCAAATGCAACCCCAATGGAAGAACTTGAAACTTTTCCCACCAACTCTCAAGACCCCACTCAGGTCTTGTGAATAGGAAAAGCGCTACCTCCTGAAATGAAAGAGAAACTGATGAATTTCTTGAAAATGAATTCGGACATCTTTGCTTGGAGGCATGAAGACATGGTGGAAATAGACCCAAGGGTCAATTGCCACCATGTTAACATCAACTCCACGTATGTCCCATATCGACAGAAGAGACGAGTCCTCAATCTAGAGCGATATGAGGCACTCAAAGAAAAGGTCGACAAATTGAGCCACAATGGCTTCATCAGAGAAACCATCTATCCGAAGTGGATATCCAACCCGATCCTTGTGAAGAAATCTAGCGGAAAATGGAAGGTATGTGTTGACTTTACCAAATTAAATAAAGCATGTCCAAAGGACAGTTTTTCTCTCCCAAGGATAGACTAACTTGTGGACTCCACTACTGGACATGAACTCCTAAGCTTCATGGATGCTTACTCGGGATATAACCAAATACCGATGTTCCGACCTGATGAAAAGGCCACATCGTTTATCACAAACAGAGGATTGTATTGCTATAAAGTGATGCCCTTCGAATTGAAAAATGTCGACGCCATATATCAGAGGTTGGTCAACATGATGTTCGATGACCTCATAGGTAAAACTATGGAAATCTATGTTGATGACATGCTGGTCAAAAGCCTCCATGCAAAAGATCACGTACATCACCTCGACTACACCTTCCAAATTTTAAGGAAATACAAGATGAAACTGAACCCGCTGAAGTGCACCTTCGGGGTAGCATCGAGATAATTTTTGAGATATATTGTGATCCAAAGAGGAATGGCGGCAAACCCAAAGAAGATAAAGGCCTTGTTAGAGATGGGATCACTCCAGAAGCCAAAAGAGGTGCAAAGCCTCAATGGATGGATTGCCACACTCAATCGCTTCATCTCCAGGGCCACTAATAAAAGCCTACCCTTCTTCAAGGTTTTGAAGCAAGGAAAGAAGTTTCAATGGAAGGATGAGTGTGAGATAGCCTTCCAAGCGTTGAAGAAGTACTTAGGAGAGGCACTCCTACTATCAAACCCCAAACCATGTAAGCCACTCTTGTTATATTTAGTGATTTCAGACGAAGCAGTCAGTGTAATTCTCGTCAGGGAAGAAGACACGCCAACTGCCAGTGTATTATACTAGCAAAGTGTTGTTCCCAGCGGAGACTCGCTACCCAGATATGGAGAAACTTACACTCCTCATTGTCACAGCATCGAGAAAACTGAGGCCATACTTTCAGGCCCATTCAATTGAAGTTCTCACCAACTTTCCACTTAAACAAGTGCTACAGAAGGCAGACGCTTTCGGTCAATTGCTAAAATGGACAATTGAGCTCAGTGAGTTTGACTTACTGTTTAAATATTGAAGTGCCATCAAGGGCCAGACCCTTGCGAATTTTGTTGCTGAGTTTGCCAAAGCCCTAGAAATGGAGGCAACAATGGAACCAGCGGAGCCCCCAACATAGAACCTATTCGTGGATGAATCGTCAGGAGAGACTGGTTTCGGAATAGGAGTTGTTTTGGAAAGCCCGGAAGGCCATAAGCTAAACTATGCAATCAAGTTCAACTTCAAAGCTTCGAACAATGCCGTCGAGTATGAGGCCCTCTTAGCAGGCCTCAGACTAGCCAAAGAAATGCAAGTCAAAAGGCTCCTGGCAAGCAGTGATTCACACCCTGTGGTGAGTCAAGTCAAGGGAAAGTTCACAACCAAAGACAGTGACATGGCCACTTCTTTGAAATTAGTGCTGAGCCTTATCCCCAACTTTGAGAGGTTCGAACTGATTCAAGTCCCACGCCTCGAGAATACACATGCAGATGCCCTATCCAAGCTGGCCAGCAGCAAGGACTCTGAGATGCTAAAAATTGTTCCAATTGAATGCTTACAAAAGCCTTCCATCTCCGAAGGCGAAGAGGTATTGTGGATTGAAAGTACCCCACTTTGGATGTAGCCTATCATAGCCTATCTAAAAAATAAATCAGTGCCAGTCTCGAAGAATGAGGCGAAGAAGTTGAAAAGAAGGGCTGCTCACTTCATTTTTTAGGATGGTGTGCTTTACAAAAGAGGCTTCGTTTTACCACTTCTCCGATGTGTAGGAGGAGACGAAGCCACATACATACTAAGAGAAATCCACGAGGGAGTTTGTGGTAAACACTTTGGAGGAACGACTCTGGCACGTAAGGTATTCCGACAAAGCTACTTCTGGCTAACCATGAAAAGAGATTATTGTCAGTTTGTTCAAAAATGTGACAAGTGACAACGATTTTCCAATGTTCAGAGACAGCCTTCTCAGAGTCTCTCCATGGTCACTAGCCCCTGGCCATTTACCAAGTGGGCATTGACTTCATCGGCCTCCTTTCAAAAGGAAGAGGAAGCGCAACCTTTGCTGTTGTCACCATTGACTACTTTACTAAGTGGGTCGATGCTAAACCTCTAGGCAAAATCACCTAGGTGAATGCAACTAAATTCGTCTGGAAGAGTATCATTTGCAGGTTCGGCATGCCCCTCTCCAGTATTTGATAATGGAAGGCAGTTCGACAATAAGAAGATGCGAGATTTGTGTAAAGAATTGGTTATAAGGAAGGACTTCTCAACGCGTCATCACCTCCAAGCAAATGGACAAGTTGAAGTAGCAAACAAAACGATCAAGCACACCCTGAAAAGGAAGCTTGATGCCTCGAAGGGAGCATGGGTTGATGAGCTTCCCCATGTCCTCTGGCCCATACGCACAACTAGCCAAACTACAATAGGAGAAACACCCTTCTCCATGACCTACAGAGCTGAGGCCATGAGTCCGATCGAGATATACTTCAATGAAATCAACAACGATGAAGCCCAAGTGTGCAAACTCCACCTCCTAGAAGAAAGGAAGGATTCATCCCAAGTCAAACTAGCTATGTATCAGAGAAATATGACTCGCTATTACAACTCAAAGGTCAGGAACCAAACTCTTCGTTTGGGCGACCTCGTACTCAGAAGGGTTTTTTTCATCATCAAAGCCAACAAGCTCCAGAGTGTTCAGACCGAACTGGGAAGGTCCTTACCGCATTCTCAAAGAATTTCAACCCGAAATTTATGAAATTGAAGACATGGCAGGGAAAGTGATGCCTCACATGTGGAATATCGAGCACTTAAGAAAATACTACCAATGAATAAATGTATGTTTTGATCCGACCTGCTTATGATCAACAATCTGTAGTAACTTATTCCTATCTAACTAAATGCTGAAATTGCCTTAGTGTATGATAATATTAAGTTCAAGTTATGAAACTTTGATTCATTATTGTGTGTATGGGTTGATTATTTCGTACTGAACTGATTACTGTTGGTATGGTTGATTGTTACTTAAGCATCCATCGAGTCATAGAAGTACAGTCACAAACAATTCAACATAAAGTAGGAAGTGACAACACTTGGAAGAATATTTCATTTCATTAATGTAAAAAGAAATTACAAGAGGGCCGAAGCTATTACTTAGGTCCTAATCTACTGCAACCACATTATCTACCCCAGCTTCCAGCTCGACCTCCTAGGGAGCCTCAGCAGCTTCCTCGACAGCCTTGTCTGGTTGGCTTCCAGGTGGTCCACCAAACTCTGCTTCCAATGAAGTTAAGTCCAGAGTTGGGTGGACCTCCCTTAGGCGATCCAACATGGCTTGGGCATTCCATGAGGTCCAGAAATTGGTAAAGTCATCATACCATG